AAGCCAAGTTTTCACGAAATAATTGTTTTTCGACTACCTAACCTACCTAACCTAACCTAACCTAACTTTTTCGGCTACCTAACCTAACCTAACCTATAAAGATAGGTTAGGTTAGGTTAGGTAGGGTTGGTTAGGTTCGGTCATATATCTACGTTAATTTTAACTCCAATAAAAAAAAATTCACCTCATACATAATGAAATGGGTAGCTTTATCATTTCATAAGAAAAAAATTAGAGAAAATATATTAATTCAGGAAAACTTGGCTTATTAGGCAAATCGGGCCTTGCATAGTAGGCTGAGAAGTGCGTTCTGGCTATTAGGTACGACATATATTTATATATATATATATATATATATATATATATATATATATATATATATATATATATATGTCGTACCTAGTAGCCAGAACGCACTTCTCAGCCTACTATGCAAGGCCCGATTTGCCTAATAAGCCAAGTTTTCATGAATCAATATATTTTCTCTAATTTTTTTCTTATGAAATGATAAAGCTACCCATTTCATTATGTATGAGGTCAATTTTTTTTAATGGAGTTAAAATTAACGTAGATATATGACCGAACCTAACCAACCCTACCTAACCTAACCTAACATATCTTTATAGGTTAGGTTCGGTTAGGTAGCAGAAAAAGTTAGGTTAGGTTAGGTTAGGTAGTCGTAAAACAATTAAATCATGAAAACTTGGCTTAGTAGGCAAATCGGGCCTTGCATAGTAGGCTGAGAAGTGCGTTCTGGCTACTAGGTACGACATATATATATATATATATATATATATATATATATATATATATATATATATATATATATATATATATATATATATATATATATATATATATATGTCGTACCTAGTAGCCAGAACGCACTTCTCAGCCTACTATGCAAGGCCCAATTTGCCTAATAAGCCAAGTTTTCCTGAATTAATATATTTTCACAATTTTTTTTCTTATGAAATGATAAAGCTACCCATTTCATTATGTATGAGGTCAATTTTTTTTTATTTGAGTTAAAATTAATATAGATATATGACCGAAACTAACCAACCCTACCTAACCTAACCTAACCTATCTTTATAGGTTAGGTTGGGTTAGGTAGCCGAAAAAGGTAGGTTAGGTTAGGTTAGGTAGGTTAGGTAGTCGAAAAAACATTATTTCATGAAAACTTGGCTTATTAGGCAAATCGGGCCTTTCTAAGTAAGCTGAAAAGTGCGTTCTGGCTACTAGGTACGACATATATATATATATGTCGTACCTAGTAGCCAGAACGCACTTCTCAGCCTACTATGCAAGGCCCGATTTGCCTAATAAGCCAAGTTTTCCTGAATTAATATATTTTCTCTAATTTTTTTCTTATGAAATTATAAAGCTACCCATTTCATTATGTATGAGGTAAATTTTTTTTATTGAGAGTTAAAATTAACGTAGATATATGACCGAACCTAACCAACCCTACCTAACCTAACCTAACCTATCTTTATAGGTTAGGTTAGGTTAGGTTAGGTAGCCGAAAAAGTTAGGTTAGGTTAGGTTAGGTAGGTTAGGTAGTCGAAAAACAATTAATTCATGAAAACTTGGCTTATTAGGCAAATCGGGCCTTGCATAGTAGGCTGAGAAGTGCGTTCTGGCTACTAGGTACGACATATATATATATATATATATATATATATATATATGCAACAATGATCACAAAAACACTGATCAAAGTATGCAGAATAACCACATATGAAAAATAGAAAATGCTTAACGCGTTTTCGGCTAATTCGCCTTCATCAGAGCAAAGTAGAATGAAGATAAGATTGCTGATCAGACCTTTATATCCTCCTGGGCAGATCACCTGACCACCAAAAATAAGTGGAGGAAAGGAATTATAAGAAAGAAGGTAACTGCAGAAGGCCTATTGGCCCATACAAGGCAGCTCCTTTTAATATCTCCAAGTGCCATACGTGTTAAATGATTGCTATATTGTTTTGACGTGCTATATTGAGGCTTAAATAGGGATCCAACTTGTACATACCGGGGCTCACATTAAGGCTGTTGTTACAATGTTTGATCAGAGCAGACTCGATCACGTTTCGTTCAACAAAATCCTTACTTTTAACAATACATTTTGCCCCTGTGAAGTCGATAGAATGATTACATAAACTGGAATGTAAATACAATGCACTGGATTGCTGGGCTGTACGAATAGCATATGAATGCTGTTTTAAACGCGAGGAAAGAGATTTACCTGTCTGGCCGATGTAAACACATGCACACTCATTACAAGGGATGGAATACACACAACCTGCTACAGACGAGGGCGAGTTCTTAATTAACATGGACTTAACTGTATTATCATTTTTGAACACTAGATTAATATTAAGGTTCTTCAGGGCTGGGGCAAGATTTACTAGACCCTCAGAATATGGTAATACCAACGAATTTTTCAGTTCTGGTTTCGACTTAGTAGCCTGTTTGTAGAAAGTCCTTTTTGCTTGACCAAACGCAATGCGTTTGGTCAAGCAAAAAGAGATGTTGTTGTCTTGCCTATATACTGGGTTTTTTGGAGCTTACAGTCCCCAAGAGGGCATTTGAAGGCATAGACGACGTTGGTCTCTTTTAAAGCGTTCTGCTTTGTGTCTAGAGAGTTTCTCATGACTAGGCTGGCCGTTTTTCTGGTTTTATAGTAAATCGTCAGTTGTATCCTCTGATTTTTGTCTGTAGGGATAACGTTTCTATTAACAATATCTTTCAGGACCCTTTCCTCCGTTTTATGAGCTGTGGAAAAGAAGTTCCTGTAAAATAGTCTAATGGGGGGTATAGGTGTTGTGTTAGTTGTCTCTTCAGAGGTTGCATGGCGTTTCACTTTCCTTCTTATGATGTCTTCGACGAAACCATTGGAGAAGCCGTTGTTGACTAGGACCTTCCTTACCCTACAGAGTTCTTCGTCGACTTGCTTCCATTCTCAGCAGTGGCTGAGAGCACGGTCGACATATGCGTTAACAACACTCCTCTTGTACCTGTCTGGGCAGTCGCTGTTGGCATTTAGGCACATTCCTATGTTCGTTTCCTTAGTGTAGACTGCAGTGTGGAAACCTCCGCTCTTTTCCATGACTGTTACATCTAGAAAGGGCAACTTCCCATCCTTTTCCATCTCGTAAGTGAAACGCAGCACGGAACTCTGCTCAAATGCCTCCTTCAGCTCCTGCAGATGTCTGACATCAGGTACCTGTGTAAAAATGTCGTCAACATACCTGCAGTATATGGCCGGATTCAAGTTCATGTCGACTAAGACTTTTTGCTCGATGGTACCCATGTAGAAGTTTGCAAACAGGACACCATGGCGACCCCATCTACTTGCTTCTACCATGCTTCTACGACATGTGCCCATCCGGGCTCAAGAAGGGTGCCTCTTTAGTACAAGCAACGCACATGCGTTGCTGAGCCACAGCAACGCGTGGCCGGGTACAGCTAGTGTATTAATAAAATGAATCATTCGTTGTATCTTCATTATTAATAAGACCACTTCGGCCATCGTGGTATTACCTGACAGCTGCTGACATACACTGTCCGCAGATACCCAACAAGGCATACTTTTAGTTCATAATAATGAACTTAGCCTTGGTGCACTCATGTAAGAAGACACGAACTGGCGGTGTGCACTCACCACTACACATTTTGAGCTAGCTGGTGTTGTGACCTCTCACAGTATGTAAGTACTAGATGTACATACTGAAATAAACATTATAAATATAATTTGTGATAATATTAAAACTATATAATAACAACGCATATCAATCTGTTTGAAAATCTTATCGTAATCCATGACAAAAGGGAAATTGGCTTTCATTTATTAAATGTTGCTTGTTTACTATTGTAAATGGACTACGGTTTTTGCTATATGCTTGTAGGATTATTTTTTATCATATGCTCCAATTCGTCACGAAAAAGAATTAATATATCAAATAGACATTCATCTAAAATATTAACAGTAAAGAAAAGTTTTCCTCAACAATATCATTCAAATGTTTCATTGTCAATAATACAAAATCAAAATGTGTTAATACTTCAAACATCTCGACACCTCAAAAAGCAGTGTTAAAATGTTTTACCTCACCCTTCCCCTACCCATGAGTACATAATGGATGCAATCAACATATTTTTGGTCACTTAAAGTTAGGGCCTAGTGTATACCTAGGGAATTGATGTACACTGGGTCATTACAACTGTCGACGAATCTGGAAGTTCCAAGCCCATCTAGCTCGGTTACGTCTTGGTTTCACATGTGTTATGGACACCTTAATGAATAGATCTGTATATCAGATCTATTCTGGTGTATATCTAGTCTATTTATTTCTGGTGTATATATGGATGTTTGCGTGTGTCAGTTATGTTGTTTGATCACAACTATCAGAGTTGCATTGTGCCACTTGGTTTTCCCCTCGCAAGTGGAATGTCCGGATTTTCAAGAACAGCTGAAATTTTGCTATTCCACTGATTTTATACGTCTTATATTCCTTAAGAGAGTCCTCTGTAAACTGAACTCCTCTGACACAGGTTAATTTATGTCTTTCTACTCTCGTGCTGGCCTGCTGAGTGGTACCGAGGAGCTTCTGAGCACTGTAAGGTAGAGCAGTGCTACAACAATGCTGGCTTTGTGCTTGTATTTTATTGTTAAATTCAGTGTCTCTTAATAGGAATAGCACCTCTAGTAAAGTCAAATATTTCTCTTAAAAAGCTGTTAAACATATTTATTGAAATGATGCTAATATTTATGGAAAAGATACTTCGTGAAAGATTCATGTTAACATATCGTGTTGTTGTTATTGAATAATTTTCTCTGTCGCCGAAAGTCATCAGACCTGGTATTAAATAAATATGAACTCGGCGAAAAATACCAGCAGAATTATTAAGTGTTTTTGTAGGAGAAGTAGTAATGATGTTATTACTATTGAATTGATCACACTGTTAATTGTCTGATAAGTATTATGTTTGTACAGGACACAGGAGACATCGACGGAGACGGTGGATGTCAGGAACATCAAAGTTCAGCACATGAACACTACTGGACGGCCTACCTTTCAGTTTGTGAGTATCTGTCTGAATGTTTGCGAGTGCCCAGATGTTTGCGAGTGAACTGATGTTTACGAGTGAACGGATGTTTATGAGTGCCTGGATGTTTGCGAGTGCCCGGATGTTTGCGTATGCCCAGATGTTTGTGAGTGAATGGATGTTTGCGAGTGCCTAGATGTTTGCGAGTGAACAGATGTTTGCGAGTGAACGGATGTTTGCGAGTGTCCGGATGTTTGTGAGTGTCCGGATGTTTGCGAGTGTCCGGATGTTTGCGAGTGTCCGGATGTTTGCGAGTGCCCAGATGTTTGTGAGTGAACGAATGTTTGCGAGTGTCTAGATGTTTGCGAGTGAACGGATGTTTGCGAGTGTCCTGATGTTTGCGATTGTCCGGATGTTTGCGAGTGTCTGGATGTTTGAGAGTGTCCGGATGTTTGAGAGTGTCCGGATGTTTGAGAGTGTCCGGATGTTTGCGAGTGTCTGGATGTTTGAGAGTGTCCGGATGTTTGCGAGTGTCTGGATGTTTGAGAGTGTCCGGATGTTTGAGAGTGTCCGGATGTTTGAGAGTGCCTGGATGTTTGTGAATATCTGGATGTACATGGACATTTTATAAACAATTAATCTATATTCCATCGTAGGTTTTAAATTATTCTTCAATCTCCATGTGGGAGATTAAATTAATTTCCCACATGGTTAATCACACACCTGTTTACCTCCCAGGTAAAGCGTTGTCACTCTTGCTCCGATGTGATTAGTTATTCCTTCCTCTCATCTCAAATTATTTGTTGGTTGTGTTCTGATTTATTAATTATGTAACTCCTTCCCTCTAAAAGTTTTATCTGATTTTCTCCCGGGTAATTATTCATTTCTATGTTTTCCTCTAGTCCCTATTTCTGTTTTCTCTTAGATAATTAACATTGCGAAAGATTTCATTCCTGGGTCATTAATAATACGCCTGATCTCACTACAAGGTCAATAATATTGAACCTGATCTCACTCTTAGGTCAATAATATTGCACCTGCTCTCACTCTTAGGTCATTATTAATGCGCCTGATCTCACTCCTAGGTCATTAATAATGCGCCTGATCTCAATCCTAAGTCATTAATAATGCGCCTGATCTCACTCCTAGGTCATTAATAATGCGCCTGATCTCACCCTAGGTCATTAATAGTTTGATTCTCTTCCAAGATTACTAATTATTTCCCTGCTCTCTCAGGTAAGGTCGGTGCACGCGTTCCCAGGCTTCATGGCAGGCAAGAACCCGTTTCAAGACTTGGGGCTGATTCGCCTGGAGCACCCCGTGACCTTCTCCTACCATGTGCAGCCCGCCTGCCTCATCGCCCAGAGGCTTCCTACCAATAAGATCGCTGCTGTCAGTATTTTGAGACGAGTGCTTTCAGACACTCGAATGCATTCACAGAGCAGTCAAAATTTAAGCATGTCACATTAGAAATATATATATATATATATATATATATATATATATATATATATATATATATATATATATATATATATATATATATATGTCGTACCTAGTAGCCAGAACTCACTTCTCAGCCTACTATTCAAGGCTCGATTTGCCTAATAAGCCAAGTTTTCCTGAATTAATATATTTACTATAATTTTTTTCTTATGAAATGATAAAGCAACCCTTTTCTCTATGTATGAGGTCAATTTTTTTTTATTGGAGTTAAAATTAACGTAGATATATGACCGAACCTAACCAACCCTACCTAACCTAACCTAACCTATATTTATAGGTAAGGTTAGGTTAGGTAGCCAAAAAAAGCTAGGTTAGGTTAGGTTAGGTAGGTTAGGTAGACGAAAAATCATTAATTCATGAAAACTTGGCTTATTAGGCAAATCGGGCCTTGAATAGTAGGCTGAGAAGTGCGTTCTGGCTATTAGGTACGACATATATATATATATATATATATATATATATATATATATATATATATATATATATATATATATATATATATATATATATATATACATATATATATATATATACATATATATATATATATATATATATATATATATATATATATATATATATATATATATATATATATATATATATATATATATATGTCGTACCTAGTAGCCAGAACTCACTTCTCAGCCTACTATGCAAGGCCCGATTTGCCTAATAAGCCAAGTTTTCATGAATTAATGTTTTTTCGACTACCTAACCTACCTAACCTAACCTAACCTAACTTTTTCTGCTACCTAACCTAACCTAACCTCTAAAGATAGGTTAGGTTAGGTTAGGTAGGGTTGGTTAGGTTCGGTCATATATCTACGTTAATTTCAACTCCAATAAAAAAAATTGACCTCATACATAATGAAATGGGTAGCTTTATCATTTCATAAGAAAAAAAATAGAGAAAATATATTAATTCAGTAAAACTTGGCTTATTAGGCAATTCGTGCCTTGCATAGTAGGCTGAGAAGTGCGTTCTGGCTACTAGGTACGACATATATATATATATATATATATATATATATATATATATATATATATATATATATATATATATATATATATATATATATATATATATATATATATTACAACAGTTTTGGATGAGGTGAAAACAAACTTTCAACACAAGACAGAACACGAAACAATGGGTATAATATTTTGTAAGTTAAAGGGAAGAATGAAAGTAACTGCAGAGGGCCTATTGACCCATATTTCTTGATGCTTCTATATTGGTGCGGAGTTTTGAAGTGGGTAGAATATAGTTGTGCATTAATTGGCTGTTGATTGCTGGTGTCGACTTCTTAATGTGTAGTGCCTCGCAGATATCAAGCCGCCTGCTATCGCTGTATCTATCGATGATACAACACCTGTACCCCCTATTAGACTATTTTACAGGAACTTCTTTTCCACAGCTCATAAAACGGAGGAAAGAGTCCTGAAAGATATTGTTAATAAAAACGTTATCCCTACAGACAAAAATCAGAAGATACAATTGACGATCTACTATAAAACCAAGAAAACGGCCAACCTACTCATGAGAAACTCTCCAGACACAAAGCAGAACGCTTTAAAAGAGACCAATGTCGTCTATGCCTTCAAATGCCCACTTGGGGACTGTAAGCCTCAAAGAATTCAGTATATAGGCAAGACAACAACATCTCTTTCCAGGCGATTAACGATGCATAAGCAACAGGGCTTTATTAAGGAACATATAATCTCTTCCCACAACCAGACCATCACCAGAGAAGTCTTAACAAAAAACACGGAAATCATCGATAGATACAGCGATAGCAGGCGGCTTGATATCTGCAAGGCACTACACATTAAGAAGTCGACACCAGCAATCAACAGCCAATTAATGCACAACTATATTCTACCCACTTCAGACTCCGCACCAATATAGAAGCATCAAGAAATCTGGGCCAATAGGCCCTCTGCAGTTACTTCCATTCTTCCCTTTAACTTACAAAATATTATACCCATTGTTTCGTGTTCTGTCTTGTGTTGAAAGTTTGTTTTCACCTCATCCAAAACTGTTGTAACATATCACCTCACCCAAATGCAGGTATAAAATCGAACCTGTTTGAACTCTGTTCAGTTACAGTTGTGTGTGTGTAAACTAAAGTCTTTGAAAATGTAATATATATATATATATATATATATATATATATATATATATATATATATATATATATATATATATACATATATACATACATATACATACACAATACATTCAATATATACAATACTTATGCAATCACCATAGCAATATATACAACCATCACAGGCTGAAAGCATTACTTAATAAAGGGAACTTGTCACACTCTTATTTTTGTGGCATGAAAACCAAATAGATTTACAGATTCAATTATGTACACTTTAAAGCTCACAATAGTTTTCCTTGGCACTGCTTTGACAGACGTTCATGAGGATGCAGAATCATTTCCAATGGAAGTTGGTGCTGCAGAGCTACGACAGCCGCTGTGACGGTCCGCGTGGCGCCTGTCTAAGTGTCATCAAGAACTACACTACCCAGTTCTGCGCATCAGATTTCGGTTAGTGTATGCATTTAACTATGCACTAAATTATGTAAAGGAATACCCCTTTTTGTTGAAAAGATAAGCCCATTGCGTTTGCTCAACTAACACGGATTAAAAAATCATACACTAATGTGAATTAATATATAATTTAAGGAAACAGCCACTACATTATGAAAAAACTGTTTTATGGAAGCAAACTATTTCGTAAGAAGAATAACAAACACAACTCGACTACAAACAAGCGAGGCTTAGCGTAACAGCAGAGCTTTATCGAGAAAGATTCGTCTTCGTAGAGATATATAATTATGCAAAGACACTTACTGTTTTAGGCCAAAATTACTGCTGTAAAGAGTTTCCCTTTAACAATAGGAAGCAATTTCACAATGACAAACACTACTTTAAGAAAGTAAACAATTAGGAAGACAAATATTGAGATCGGGATGCGCTGTTTTGGAGTAAACAGCATTAGGGATTTTAAATAGGATGGGATAAAAAGTATTGCTTTTAAAAAAGAAACTGTTTTGGGGAAGACGTATTAGTTTATAAATACACAATTATTGATCCACGAAACACATTCCTTTTTGTGTGAAGGACACTGCGTTAGGGGCATCGCTTCACAAACGTTTAGTACAAAATAAGAAAAGTCATTGCTTCATTGTGACACATTGCTCTAGGAAAGCAGTGAATACAAAGACAAGCAGAAATAATTATTTAAACTAGATTCTTGATTTCACTTTAGCTTTTTAAAAGTTTTTAAAATCTGTCCTATTAGGAGAACTACCATCTTTGCTATTCCTTCATATAGCAAAAGTCCTCGACTCAAGTCCATTATATCCAGCGGTCGACCCCACCAACGCATTCATAAATTTTTACATGCTGTTCATTCAAAACGGGAATTTTCTCAAATGTAAATTAAGATTATAATATATTAGCATATTGTGCATATATTGGCAAATGTTAGGTTAGGTTAGGTGTTTAGGTTCTGTGGGTGATTATTTGTATTTATAGTACGTGGGTGAAGCATTTACAGCGTTGTGGTTCAAAGAAAATTCGTTAGTGAAGCACTTGTTCCGGATATGTTCGAACGAAATCAGTTGTTAGTCGTGTGTAAACCGTTTTTCATTCATAAACAAGGAGGTTGTCGGGTGCACGGAATCACTTTTGGGTCTCTGTTTGGAGGACGGGCTGCAACCCGTCCTCGACTCAAGTCCATTCCATCCTGCGGTAGACCCTAAAGACGTATTCATTAATTTTAACATCTTGAGGTTATCTTGAGATGATTTCTAGGCTTATTGTCCCCGCGGCCCGGTCCTGGACCAGGCCTCCACCCTCCAGGAAACAGCCCGTAACAGCTGACTGACTCTCAGGTACCTATTTACTGCTAGGTAACAAGGGCATCAGGGTGAAAGAAACTCTGCCCATTCTTTCTCGCCGGCGCCCGGGATCGAAGCCGGGATCACAGGATCACGCTTCCAGTGTTCTGTCCGCTCAGCCGGTGGCTGAGGCTCCAGCGACGAAGACATCCACGGGGGTCAACCAGTCATATCACATGATGCACAACACTCCTTACTTGGGTGTGAAAACCCGCCGCAGTACAATCACCTCGCAAAGACACAGTATAGTGGTCTACCTTGCCTCTCTACGCTCCATGGATCGTCACGATGGCGCTCCATTGGTCTCATCAAGGACACTGTTTATCTTGCAGCATCTGCCTAGTAGAACCGGATGTGCTGCAAGATAAACAGCGTCCTTGATGAGGCCTAACATACAGTTCATCCAAAATACAAATTTTCTCAAATATAAATTAATATTGTTAAATATTAGCATACTGTGCATATTTAGGCACTGGTTAGGTTAGGTTAGGTTAGATTAGGTGTTTAGGTTCTGTTGACAATTATTTGTATTTGTAGTACGCGGGTGAAGCATTTACAGCGTTGTGGTTCGAACAAAAGACGTCAGCAAAAGACTTGTTCCGAAAATGTTCGAATGTCATCAATTGTGAGTCGTGTCTAAACCGTTTTTCATTTATAAACAGGGGGTTTGGCGGATGCATGGAATCACTTTTGGCCTTTGTTTATGAGGACGGGTTGCAGCGTGGATCTCTGAGATCTCGAGCACTTCTTAAACCTTTGCTTTACCAGAGATCAAAATACTGTGAGCTACAGATCGGTCTGCAGATCTTTCTTCCATCAGGAAGAAAGTTTCATTTCATTCAAAACTTGTTTTTCACGTTATTTACTATTTTTGTATACACTTCGCTTACTTGTTTAATTGTGATAGTATTATTAAATTTCAATGTTATTGTTTAAATGGTTTAAACTTTCTGTGGTTTATTCCTATTTAAAATTTATACATGAATACAGAATCCTTTAACACCAGTATTGTTCCTACAGAACCATCACCACAATCAGGGGATCTCTCATCTGGAGGACCTTATCTTGTGAATGTTGGGACAGCTGTCCGGGAGAAGTGGGTGGTGGCCGGCGTGGTGTCCTACAGAACCGACCTTTGCCAGAGCTCACTCACGATCTTCACTTCTGTCGTTGACTTCTGGCCCTGGATTTCCAGATGTGTCCATGAGGGGAAGTGTTCTTAATTAGATATGGAGATGGCGCTGTTGTGTGTTTTAATTTTTTGTCATAATTTTGTTGCTAATTACCACTTGTGGTGGCCCTTAATAATACTTCCTTGGTGAATACTCCCTGAACCTAATACCAAACCTGCCTTATGTGATTAAATGAAATTAATCTCAGAATTATATGTATTGGATGGAAAATGTTTTTTCTCGTGAGTCTTAATATTCCAAAATCATTTCCAGCTAGTTTACAAAACAAGTGATGACTAAAATATCATGAAATAGCTTTTCGAATTTATATAATAATTGTATTTGTGAAGGGGAAAATTTTTGTATCTTGGATGTAAGCGCACAATGTAAGATATTTGATATCTTGGTGATTCATCATCCAGCATCATCTCAAATAGTTATCTCTTTGAAAGTATAAAGTTTTCCGACGGGTATTTTTGCTTCTTGACCCTTTATCATTGTTAATAAGTTGATTTTGTTATTATTAGCATATTATAAACTTTGAGCAGTAATTCCTCAAGATTATACATGAATTTTTCATCATATTTATGGAACTGTGATAAGGATGAGGCGTGTTTATATGGATGAGTGATCTTATAGTAGAGTGAAAGCTTCCAGCTGTTATTTACCGTTCCTAACATAATGCCTCGAACCACAGGTCATGATGGTGACCAAGAACAAAGAGGCTTTTTCTTCTCTTGGTGTATCATGCAGAATTAGTATGCTGTATATTTTACAATTCACTTCCAAATTCTTCTGCTCTGGAAAAATTAAATACGATTTGATCTATATTTTTTATCAGA